AGCTATTGCTTTACAGAAGTATTTTTGGTGAGAAAAGTTGAGAATCTTGAGATTGTCTCTATCCAATACATATCAAAGTATGAACGTCTTATTACGAAAATAATTAAATATGATTTAGAATTTTTTGCATTTGCTTACTTGATAATATAGTTTTGATTTAGTCAGTATCAGAGCTAATGAAGTACAATCTTTGATGATCAATGGACTTACACTCTTTCATGAACGTTTTGACTGTTTGTTGTTTGCTATTGAATAGAACTTATAATTGTGATTGTTTAATTATAAAATGCTTTAGATCTAGTTAGATGACGGCTTTTTTTTGTATAGACAACAAAAAAAAAACACTTTAGTTAAATATATAGTTGACCGGTTTTATTTTGTATTCATAGAATCAATCAAGAACTTCATTCTTGGGTTCAAGATCATTATCGAAAACAAGCAAATACTGATAATAGTAAATCGATTACAATACCTGACTCGAATTCTATAAGTATTTCAACAAATCCTGATATGACAACTGTGACAGATTCTAATGATCAACAACATATACCAAGAAAAGTTGCACTTCTTAATCGACGATCATCGAAGTTTGTTATTGATTTGAAGAAAAAAAAATTTTTTTTTGCATTTAAAAAATTCTTTGTCTAGAACACAATCGACAACTAAAGGTCAACTTCAACCATATAAAGGATATGAACCTAATTATGAAGATTTTATTCATGCAATTGATAGAAGAAATGATACACTTTATTTTGTATCATTCAAACGAGTAAATAATTTTGTTTATTATGAAAAATAAAATAAAAATTAATTGTTTTTACGTTTCTTTTTTTTTTTCTATTAAGGATCATCTCATCCTTCCTGCCACGGTAACAAATCAAACTCAACGACCAAAAATGTCTTTAATTTTACCAGCATCAATTACACATTTAAATAGTATGTTTTATTAATTTAAATTTTCTTTTTTCTATTTAATTATTTTATAGAATCAATTCATGTACCAGCTAATCATGTACCAATGATACAAATTGATTGTGAAGTTGAAGATACAAAACTTGTTTTTGTAAAACGTGGTCATATTCCATCATTCTATAGACATGATTTATTTCGATATTATTCATCAGTTCCACAAACTGCTGTGTAAATCTCAATGTTTGCTTTTTGGTTATGCTTGTGTCGGTGAATTTGAAATAAAAACAAAAAACTCTTTTTTGTTTTTTTGTGTTTCTGTTAACTTTGACAAAGTTTTTCTTTTTTTTTTTTTGTTGTTTTCTGTTGTTGTTATCGCTGATGTTTTTGCCGCCTGAAAAAAAAAAATTTACTTTGATTTTTCTGTAATTTTTCTTTTTGTGTTTTGTTCTTTGTTCTTTTTCTATGTGCAATGAGAAGTGATAAAGACATGCAACAATCAACAAAAGAAATATATGTTTTATTAGTATTGTTGGATGCATGTATGATCTTCTCGTTTTCATAAACTTAGTGTACATTTGACTTGTACATTGAGTTTTGTTTTTTGTTTATATTTTGATTTGTCTCGCGATCTTTATATTTATTATTATTATTATTATGATTATGATTATTATTATGTGTTAAATTGTTTTATTTCTCTAAAAAACAAAACTCGTCTCTGTTTTTCTCACACACTCGTTGTAGCTTTTTTAGTATATGCGAGTTGTGCTTTCGGTTTTTCTTTTTCTTTTTTGTTTTTCAGTGGGAAAGTATCTTGTATGGATAAGAAAATAATGAAGGCTTAAATTTTGCTTTTTAAAATATGAAAATATCATTTGAAGTTTATTAAAAGCAATTTTATTTTTCATTATGATAAGTGATCATTGAGAAAGAGTATATATGTCATTACGTTAAAATTAAATGAGTCAAGTGAAATAAAACATCTGATGCATCAAGATTGCCTAGTTTTATTACTCTATATAGATTCATTCTTTGTATTTTATGCTTTACTAAAAGTCTGTTAAGCTGATAGAGATTTTTATTGACAGTTCTGTAATGAATAGTCTTATCAACAATTTCTTTTTTCTTTTGCGCAATACTTTTTTTTTAAAATTCTCTGAAAAGATTTGCGCAGACACATTTTTTTTATATACTTAAACCTATCCGATACTTTTACCATTTAGTAAAGTCGGGGTAAAAAAAAATCATTTTTTCCTTCCTTCATTCTATAATTCAGTGCATATTATATTATCGTAAATAGCTTTGAACTAATATACATATTTTTTTGCCTTGTATTCAAGTATATTATCGGCTTAATGAAGCGAAACGAAAACAATAATATGTTTATATTGCTCAAAGATTCAATGAAGGCCAAAAAAATAGATTGTCTTGTTCTGTCTAAAAATATACACATAAAAATACATGTTTTTCTTTTCAAATTTTGAAGATATTTTTCCTTCTAATTCAAAAACTATTTCATGGCTAACGTTCTTGAACAACTTCGTCAATATACAACAATTGTTGCTGATACAGGTGATTTTGAATCATTAGAAAAATATAAACCAACCGATGCAACAACAAATCCATCATTAATATTAGCTGCTGCTAATATGAAACAATATGATCATATTATTAATGATATTATTGATAAATGTCGAGAAAATGATACATCGGAATTAGATGAACAAGTAATAATTGATAATGTTATGGATAATGTATTTGTTGCATTTGGTGAAGAAATTCTTAAAATAATACCTGGTCGTGTATCAACTGAAGTTGATGCACGTCTTTCATTTAATATTGAAGGGCAAATAAATAAAGCACGTCATTTTATTGATTTATATGAAAAACGTGGAATATCAAAAGATCGAATATTAATTAAATTATCATCAACATGGGAAGGTATACAAGCAGCAAAAGAATTGGAGGAAAAATATGGTATACATTGTAATATGACATTAATTTTTTCTTTTGCTCAAGCATTAGCATGTGCTGATGCACATGTAACACTTATTTCACCATTTGTTGGACGAATTTATGATTGGTATGTTGAAAAAAAAGGTAAACGTGAATATGAAATTGATGAAGATCCCGGTGTTGTAAGTTATTTAAGAAGAAGAAAATATTTTATTTTATGTTTTTTCTTTTCTTGTTGTTCATAATTAGGTTAGTGTTACACGTATTTATAATTATTATAAACAAAATAATATAAAAACTGTTGTTATGGGTGCATCATTTCGTAATACGAAACAAATTCTTGGTTTAGCTGGATGTGATTTATTAACCATAAGTCCAAAATTACTCGATGAATTAGCATCCCAAAAGACATCAAATAATGAACCAATAAAAGTCTATTTAAATAAAGAACAAACTGAAAAAAAGATGCAAGAAAACAAAAAGTATGAAAAACTTGACGAAAAAACATTTCGTTGGATGTTAAATGAAGATGAAATGGCTCATGATAAATTATCAGATGGTATACGAAAATTTGCAGTTGATGCAAAAAAACTCGAAGAACTTATTCGGTCACGTATTCAACAAAAAAAATGAGAATATATTATATTGAGCAATGGTTACTTTTATCTATTTCTTTTTTCTTTTTTTGATTTTTTTAATGGCATCTTAGTAAACTAAAAGTTTAATTCTTTCTCTAATAACGTAGCTGCTTTTATAGTGCATCTTATCTATTTTCAGTCTACATTTTTCTAGCAATAAAAGTTCATTAATTGACTTACAAATACTTTTATCGTTAATTCTTAATAGAACAACAGGACATTAAAAAGTTTAATATAAATACAAATACATTCAACAAGAGAATAATTGATTTGTTGATGTAACTATTCTTAATAGAGATAAAACTTAAAGTATATCATAAAATGTTATAGTTGTCATAAGCTCCTAAAAAAAATTGCTCATACTGTTTGATAAAACGTCATTTTTATGATCGAAACTCGACACGTTTTGAAATGGATATATTAATGAATGATATTTAGAATATCAACTATACTATTATTTATTCTCGCATTATTTATTGAATAAAGTTTTCTTAACTAAAAATTAAGTTATAACTTCGAATACTTTTTATAAATACAATTTGATCTTAAATATCAATTTCGTGAACTCTATTTAATACGATAATAAGTTAATCAAACAAGAAATTACTTGATTACCAAAACTAAAAACTATATTGACAAAATGTAATTTTGAAAATAAAAAACGCGCGTAGTGCAATAAAAACTCCATAAATGACATTAGTTTGTTTTTGCTATTGACTAGAATGCATAGTTTCAGCAAATTCCGGAATTTCCTTCTTTTGTGAAGAGATTATTGAAATCTTTCTGGAAAGTCCATTAGATATGTTATTATCAAACGAAAGCAACTAGACTGAAGTCAGCCACCTATTGAGGATGAGGACGAAAACGACACTTAAAACTAAAGGCGAAGGCTGACTATTTAGAATATTAATCGCAAAAACTAATTGAAACTTTATCTTTGAAAGTTTTTGCTCATAAGAAATGATGACAAATATTCTTAAACAATAGACCATCTTTCTTCTATAAGAGCATAATTATGGTAATTTAAAATTTACTTTTGCTCTAATAATAGAAAGGTAGTCATTGCTGATCAATTATTCAATATCTTTACAGGTAAGATTTTTGAATAATCTCTCATCTTACTAATATTCATCTTGTAATTCAACTTGAATTTCAATTTATATATAAATTTTACTGATTACAAAAGACGAGAACACAAAAAAATCAATCTATTGTTCACATAGCATACTATATGATGCATAAGTTCATGAATGAATATGAGCAGAAGCCTATTGTAAGCAAAACGATAACCATAATGATGTAATTATTTATTTCGTATGAGCAACGCTTTTCATTGGTATGGCGAGGATATAGTCATAGATTTTTTTTTCTTTTACAATATTGGTGAAGTTCTTTTTTCCTATCTGCTTCTAATCATTGACTACGGGTGTCTATCAAGAAGACAGAAAGTGTAAAAAAATAAAATAAATGACAATGTTTCACAGCATATGGCAAACAATGGTACTAGAAGAAGGAACGATACAAGAAAAAGATGATAGTACTGAATTGTGTCTATCCAAACAAATAAAACAAAATTTTTATAAACATCTTAAAGGTAAAATTTCTAATATGTAGAATTGAATGATGCTTATTGTTGATATAGAATCAAGTAAAGTTGTAAAAAAAAGAAATGTCAACTATTCTTAAATTTATTATCACCACTTGTTCATACAACATATATTTGACCTTTTTTCTGTTAATCAAGAAAAAAAATATCAGCATTCCTAGCATGTCTACTATTTATGTTTTATATCGACCCAGAACATCGCCACAAGCATTTCATAATTTATTTATTTTTTTTTTTTGAAAGTAAAGAAAAAAACCAAGAGCTTTTTGTCCAACAGTACACATGCACAATTGTATAAAACAGAAAACAGCATCCTTGCAAAGTGAAGTGGTGTCGACTGAGTGACGAAGTGAGCAGCAGAAAAAGTGAAAAGAAATTTACACAAAACACACAATATCTTTTACTGTGCATGTTGTTTAAATCTTGACATCGTGAAAAGAATAAACTAAAACGAGTAACGACTACTGTTCAAAAAATGACGGATTCAATGAAGCTTCCGGTGCTTAAATTACCTCAAATCCGCCCATCTTCAAATAGTACTATCAATACTGATAGACCTCTAAGTATTAAACAAGGTAGGAAATGAAATAGCATTCAATGAAATTTCCTTTTTTATTCTGTAAATTTCAAGAGTAACCTATCTTTATTTTTATTTTGAACTTATATTTAGATACAAATACATATGACCAATGGCGTACAAGTATTCATCGACAGTTAGAAGAAGATCTTCAACGACAAGTACAACAAGTACTTGACGAAACAGAGAGACAAGAACGTTTAGCTAAATTACGTCGACAATATCTTCGGTATGAAACATAAAATACCTAAATCTAGTTTATAAGACTAATAAAGTTTATTTAAAAAATACATAACGACAAACATTTCTTCTATTATTGTTTTATATTTAAAATTAAGCAAATTTCTATAAATAGAAGTCTTGCATTTTCAATACGATTAACGAAATCAATAGATTAAGTCAATAGTCTAGAAAAATACAATAATTACTATCATAAAAAAGATCTTTAAGTTCAATAATAGAAAATTTGAAAGTTGTTAAAAATAAGCAAATTTAAATACGTATATTTTTTCAAACGAAAATGAAAATCTAGGAAAAAGAAAGTGTTAATTGACTTTGATAATCTATTGTACTTTAATAGAAAAAAAGAAAACTTATAAAGAAAATTGATTTTCTTTTCTCGTGCTTTGTGTCTCAATAAATATTGAAATTTATTATTATATTTGTCAAAACAATAGAAAATATTCCTAGTATTTCGAATTGATAGCCTTCATTTTTATTTTCCATCTATATTAATTAATAGAGCTGGTCAACATCTTCCGTCACACCAAATTGAAACGAATGCTCATCACAATGATCCATTGAGTGAAATAGAACGACGTAATCAACGTGTTCTTCATCCACTTAACGCAAAAGAATCGTATGGAACACAAAATCATCTTCCAACATTTGATCCTCAAAGAAATAAATTTTCTAGCAATGATTTTAATTTAGAATCATACACTAGTTTTTGTCGACGTCGACGACTTTCATCAAATCGAAATGATGAACATTTATTAGATGATTCATCATTTGACGTGCAAAACCTTCGTGGCAAACGAGTACCACTAACTTCAATTAATCGGGATTCATTATTTCTATATGGAAATAGTATTCTTAAATCAAATAAAGCTGATATCATAAATCTACTTGATCAACGAACAAATAACGGTGAAAATACAACTCCTTATGTTAATAAATATGGAATTATTATTGGTGAAGATGGACCATTCTGGCCCCATAACTTTCGCATTCTTCATCCAACACCAAAATTCCTTAGCCGCGAATTGACTCCTAAAGAATTTTATTTAACAATCACAAATTCATCACTACCAAGTAAGTAAAAAAAAATAACAAGAGAAGAAAGAAGAACAGCGAAGGAATTGAGAATGTCTTTATATGTAACAAATAATTTTCTCCTGTATTTGTCTTTGAATCGGTAACGATCTATTGGTTGCAAAAAGCTCGCTTTTTATTATTCTTCTCACTTTTTCTTTGCGTTTCATTTTTCTGTTAAGTAGATGTAAAAAATCTAGATGATTGATTTTACATCTATGTACAAGGTAAAGTAATTGTCAAAGAAAAAAAAAACAGGACCATGCGTATTGGACAATCAATTTGGTCTCGAGAAGACTTTAATCTAAACAATCCAACAAGTTCATTGGTACTTTCAACAAAAGCTAATAATTTGATAAAACTTCGGTCTGCTGCAGAATTCAATCGTAGTTTCGATACGCATAATGATGATAATGAACAAGAAATTATCTTGCCACATGGACATTTAATAAATTCAAGTAAAAATCTTTTTTCAAATCTACAGTTACGTAGTCGTATTTATGAACAACAACAATTCGTATCAAATGATGGTACAGTTAAAACAGTTTATTATTTTCGTGCAACAAGAATATGTGTTGATGAATCTGGTCCATTTTGGCCCATGACATTTCCTATAAAACATCCAACACCATCATTTTTATCTTTTACACGAAATGAAAAAAAATATCGTTTAAAAGAATATTATTATTCACACGATAATCATTTTTTAGGTAAAAATTATCAACAAACATATGATAATCAACCAGTTGTATTTAAATATACCGATACTTTTAAACATCCAATTCTTGTTTATGATATGGATAAATCACCAAGACAACAACAACCTAAAGCAAATGAAAGTGAACAAATGTGTCCATCGTTAATATTTGAATCACGTTTTGAAGGTGGAAATTTAAGACAAGTTAAACGTGTGTAAGTATAAATTAAACAATTTTAAATATTTATATTATTTAAAAATAATATATAAATTTATCTAGAGGTCAATTTGAATATGAACTTGTACTTCGACCTGATCTATACACTCGACGACATACACAATGGTACTATTTTCGTGTACAAAATATGATTGCTAATATAACATATCGTTTTCGAATTATTAATTTGGTGAAAAAATCTAGTCTATATAACGAAGGTAATCAATAGAAATACTTTTAATATTTTTTTGGTTAATGATATTCTATTAATCTTAAATTTTATTTTTTGAGATGAAAATTTACATATAGTAATTATTGACAATAGAATATTAAGAAATGTTTTTTTGTTATGTACTTTTTCTATGACTTTGATATTAGAAAAAAACAGAAATTTTGAAGAATGAAAAATTCATATTATGTTTGATACAAAGTCATCTTAATGTCAAAATGATCTTGTTTCTAATTCTACGAGTATGGATCGTTTTTGATTTTGTAGATAATTAAAACAAAAATATTGATTTTGAAAAACATATAGACTCCTTCGTATTAAAAAAAAACTAAATAGAATTATATTAAATATTCTCTATATCATTTGACAATCGATTTAACATTCATTAATAATAGTATATATTATATTGAATCAACACTTCTAAACCAAATAACACGACTGATTATGTAAATATTTGATTTCAATCATTATTTGACAACAATGACAGTAAGAACCTACGCCATAAGTAAAAGAAAATAGTCCATGTTAATGTAATTCATCTTTAAAGAAAAAAAAAAGAAAACATTTTGATTCATGATGAAAATGTTAAAAATAAGTTTCTTAATCATAATTGCAAATATACATAGACAGAAAAAGCAATCTGCAATCAACTAATTATGTTGAAATTGAGTAAATTTTTCATACATCATTGTAACTATTGCAAGAGTGAACTTGAGTATTATTACTACTATTAATGCTCGAAGCGTAGTTACCTTTTCTTTTATATATTTTTAGAACAAGAAAAAGATCTTTTTTTGGAAATTTAAAAGCTGAAATAAAACGTTTTTCTTTGTTAAAATTTTTATATTACAATACTTGAAAATAAGTTATTTTCAATCGAATTAAAAGAATGATTACATTTTATCCACTTCTACTACATGAATAAGAATAAATAATTTCAGAACAAGCAAAAACAACACTGCTCTTGTCGTCTAATAGAGCATCTCAATTTCGTCTTTCTTTTTTAATTAGGTATGCAAATTCTTCTTTTTTCGGATGTAGCCGGGAAAAAAGAACTACGCGGTTGGCATCGTGTTGGTCATCATATTAATTATGTAGAATATAAACAACGCACTTATAATCCTTTACTTGAACGAGATATTAATTATTTTGAACTTGATTTTCAACTTGTATGTCGATATAAACAATAGAATATTTCGAAAACATATGTTTTCTTTTCATAGGAATTTGCCCATACTGGTGATACATGTTACATAGCACATTGCTATCCATATACATTTTCTGATCTCAAGGACGATTTAGATTATTTATCATCAATACGATCACAAGAAGTTTTTCGTCGTGATATTTTATGTGAATCTCAAGCAGGAAATTCATGTTTCATTGTAACTGTAACTGATGAATGTATGATTAAGAAAAACAAATTTAAATGTTTTTGTTTATCTTAAATTATATTTTGATTAACTTTAGCGGTACCGATAAGTCAAAAAAAGTTTGTTTTTATAACTGCACGAATACATCCAGGTGAAACAAATTCAAGTTATATGATGCGTGGTGTACTTGAATTTATTACATCAGATGATAAAGTAGCTCAAGTAAGATTCATTTTCTAGGAAAAAAAAATTAATTTATATTGTTTATTTTATTTAAAAGAAATTACGTTCACAATTAGTATTTAAAATTGTACCAATGCTTAATCCTGATGGTGTTATTATTGGTAATTATCGATGTTCATTAACTGGAAAAGATATGAATCGTAATTTTCGTCATCCACGTAAACAAACTTTTCCAACCATTTATCATATGAAACAATTAATGCAAGATTTACAAAAAGAACAACATGAAGTAAATATATACATATAAGAAATTTTGATAAAAAGGAAAATGTATCGAATTTTTTCACTGTTTATAGATCTTAGCTTTTTGTGATCTTCATGGTCATAGTCGTAAATCAAATGTATTTGCTTATGGTTGTGATGGATGTGATGGACCACAACCAGATATGAAAAATTTTTTAAGTGCACGTGTTCTTCCATATATTATGTCGAGAACGGTAAGAATAGATAGAATTAATATTATGTAAAAATATGAAATTAGTTGATTGTCGTTTTGGTTTCTCATTGAATAGTTTACAGAATTTTTCATTTTTTTTTTCATGAAAAGTTCAGGACAATGTTTAAGTTAATTTAAAGCACTGTTTGTTTGGATCTATAAAATTTCCGAAAACTAGTTTTTTAATATTTTATACAACTAACGGTTTAGATCACATTCTTTAATTTATTGATTAGACAAAATAATTAATATTTTCTAAACTAATCTCCGGTAGATTTTCTCACTTTTCATATGCTAAAAAACCAGTTAGATGAAACTCTTACTATCCTTGTGACAGGGCAATATACTACTTTGGTTGAGCCATATCACTTAAACTATAACTTTGATATATTCAAGCAACAAATGCTTAGCCATATATGACAAAAAGTAAATATTAGCGATGCTATAGATTAGATGTTTTGTAAAAAAAAAAAAAGTTCATTTTCATATCTTGTCTTATCAGAACAAGTATTTATTTTGTTAAGTTTGTGGAAAAAATGAGCATGAGTTTTTTTCAAGATTTAAATAGGAACTTATACACATTGATTAAGGACCAATTTTTTTGGTAAAATAAAAGACAAAAGATCAAATTTTAATACCTATCGAGAAAAACATAATTTTTGTGTGAAAAATAAAAAGAGTTTAACAATGAATCATACATAGTCTGAAACTAGGGCCACTGATCGATTGATCTGTAAGGAAATGTTTTCGTGACATGACTTTTCGTTCCGAAAAATAATTATTCTTCTTACGTTAAGCGCTTTCCGAAAGGACTTCTTGAGTAGAGTAGATCACCGTGTTTTCTCACTAATCTAATATTGACAAAACTTTCAGAGAATGTTCTTCTATATCTAGAACATATGCTCAGTGAATCCAAAGATATGCAAATGCTTCTGAACTGAAGAAATATGTTTCATAATAGACAGAATCAAACAATATTTCTATAATTAGTAAGAGTAGCCATACCGTGTTTCACATTGTAATCCTACAGGAACTGTGCCAAATAGTTTTTTTTTCAGATGAACTTTTGAAATAGAATGAAAGATTTTTAAAACTTCTTATGTCTCGAATAATTAAGTGAAGAAATTTGTTTATTGATATTATATAAATAATTTATTCTTTTATATACTAGGCACCGGAAATGTTTTCATTTGATTATTGTAAATTTCATATACATCGATGTAAAGAATCTACAGGGCGTGTTGTTATGTGGAAGGAAATGTTAATTAAAAATAGTTTTACATTAGAAGCTTCATTTGCAGGATCAAGTATTGTGTATGTTTGTTCTATTCTAAATAATAATAATAAATATATACAGCAACAAAATTTTATATTTATTACAGAGAAAAATCATGTCATTTTAATATCCAAGATTATGAAAAATTTGGACAATGTATATGTCAATCATTAAGACAATATTTAGATATTCTTTCCGATTCAACGTATGATGAAATTAATAGATTTATTTGATACAAAAAAAAAGTAGTATATTTATTTTATCTCTAGACGATTGGATTCCATATTTTTGGATATAACAAAAAGTGTTCTTCGTAAATTAGGAAAAGAAAAAATTCCACCTACTTTATTACCTGCTGTTTATCCAGGTAAGATAAATCCATAAGATTTATTTTAACTATATAATGCATATAATATTAAAGAAGAAAAACAAACTGAAGAACTACAAATATCAATTACTTCAGTTGCTAGTTGTTTACAAGTATTATCACAATGTCATGATACTATTAATGAACAAGATGTATCCAGGTTAGTTATTGCTTTAGTTTTATTCAAAAAAAAGAAAAAGATTTATATCCTTGTTTAAATAGTTCCAGCGATTCAGATAGTGATCCTGAAGGTGGTGAATTACCTGATATTCCATATCAAAAAGAAGAACAATCACCAAAGAAAAAATTAAAAAAGAAACGACCAGAAAAAATTATTGAAGAACGTGTTCAAAGATTAGCTCGTAAACGAGAGGTAAAATATTAAAAAAAAATTTTTTTTTTTTCGTTCATCAATAGAATAACCCTCTTTGCTATTGCAATGAGATAAAATAAAGTAAACCAAAGTAAAATCCCTTATGCTCACACTTAGGTTAATCGTTCGCAACCTCTCAAGGCAATATTTGTTCCGGTGAGAAATTTGCTTTTTTTAATCGTCTATTTCATTTCGTCATTATTATCAATGTCAAATAATTATTCTATTAGGCAAACGAAGAATCTAATGTTATTAGCAGTGCTAGTTGTGCTAATGGTACTAATGGTACTAATGGTACTAATGGTATCAATGGTACCAATGGTACCAATGATACCAATGATACCGGTCGTCGAATACGTGTATCTTATCCATATACATCGGAAATCGATATGAGTTCACAATTAAAACTTACACTTGCCGTTGATCAGGTTCAAAAAATAAAATAAAATATTATTAAATATATACATATATATATATGTACAAAGGGTGTTCCAAAAATTTTAAAACGATTTTTAAATATCTCGTTCTGTTTTTCAGAAAAAGTAATCTCTCTGCAAATTTAAACTTATCAATTTCACTATGGATGAGATATTCTAACAACACTATAATGAACTATTCTATCGATTGTCCTAATCTTTTTGCATAGTATTTTTAAATCAAAAACAAACCTTTCATAATAACATGAAACATATACCGTTTTGTCGATGTGCAAATATTTGATTAAAATAACCATTGATTACTAATTTTCATAGTTCTGATAGTTTATTTATATCATTCGTTGATGGAGAAGAATAGTAAACTTTTGTACTCATTTTTCCTATTGTTAGTTGTCTTTTAATGCATCCTAAATGTTTTCTATATGCTAAGCGTTGACTAGTTTTGCTCGATAAGTTTTCGTTTCAACCTACTTGGTAAAAAAACATGTTCAACAGCATCCAAAGTCACGTATATTCTATGTTAAAGTTCCATGTTGTAAATCATCTAATTCGTGAGCTTCTTTTTCTGCTATCATAATGCGAATGAATTTTGTACATCTATCATTATTAAAATACATTTTCTAACAATGATAACTGTCTTATGATCTGATGAGCTTGAATTATTTAAGTACAATTTATCATCCATGGTAAAAGCTATAGATCAAGAAAATTGTATTTATTTATGACTTACAAGGAGACGTCTTCAGATGTGTCCTTTCGATTTCAGTGTTTTTTGCCGTGTTCTAAAATAAATTTTAAAAGAATTTGGCTTCTTATTTTTATTTATATGACGCTATTGAAATTTCGATTTCGGAATATGAGACTTTTAAGATTTAAAACTTTTTCCATATATAGCATAAAAGTTATACATTTTTGGAAAGTTAGTCTAATTAAGTTCTGTATATGCACAACGTTTCGGATAAAAATTCGAAAATACGAGTTTTTCGAAAACCTGGGATGTCTACAAAATAGATATATTAAAAATTCAATAGCTTAGTCAGATATAAATAGAAACCGCAATTTTATTTTAGAGTTTTTATTAGAATATTATATAGTACTAGTAGGCAAAAAAAATCATTGAAATTGGAAGAGGACAATCGAAAAGGTTCCTTCGTAAATAAATATAATTATGTGTTAAAGTTGCAAAGAGTTTACTTTTGTTGAATATAAAAACAATAAATTTTAAAAGTATTTCAGAATTTCTTGGACACCATTTAACTATATATATATATATCAACTGGCTTTTTTTTTTCATCAAGTTTTGCACCTAATTGAAAGTTCAATATTGTATTGAATGCGTTGCTTTCACATACATCATACCAATATATGCGCACGCTTTTGCTTAGACAATATTTTTGTAATAATAATCTAATATTTAATATCCATTTACTGTAAATTTTCATTTAGATGGACAAAGCAGTCCGTACATTGCCACCACGAGGTACTCTATTTACAAGTAAATATGCTAATCGAAGTGGACATGGTATACCAATTTTTACTACTGAACGAGCACTGGAACGAAAACAGGTAAAATTATTTCAAATATTTATTAATCAAAATGACACTTATTCTTTTTTTTTTTTAGAAAATATGCAATTCATCTTTTCAAGAATCTCTGTTGGAACGACAATCGGTAATTGCCGTGTTTTTTACTTTTTAATAAAAGTTCTATTTCACATATTAATATATTTCTAGACAGATGATGGTGATACTGATATTGAACCAGGTAAGACAAAAAAAACCAATAAACTATTGTCAATTTTACAGAGAAGATTCAATAATTTTCTCTATAGGAGAACGTTTACAATTGGAAACATCAGCCATTATTGATTCGAATGTTTCAACAACCACAATAAATAATACAGCAGTTAAACGAACAGCTTCATTTGTTTCTTTAACTCTAAATGATTTACCATCTCCATCAAATGATCAATCTATACCAACAATTAGCGGTACAATATCATCACAAACATCAATTTTTAAAACTTTACCACCACGTCGACTACAACATATACATCGTCGTCAACATCAACCAATCCAACAAAATAAATCATCAAATGTTACTGAAAATGATCGTATGCCAAATCTATCACCATCAACTGTTACAATGCCAAATCTTATGGAATTAGCAAATCGTTCATCACCACTTCTAGTACTTCCTTCATCAATGAATAATAGTGATCTATCAATGATAGATCCGTCAGGTAAATTTTCATATGAAACGTTAACTGATTCAAATGGTGTTAAGCATCATCGATTATATACTGTAACTGATAATCTTCTTCGTCCATTTTCAAAAAATGAAACATCTTTATTACGAAGTAATACTGGAATGAGTACGAAAATGCCAGCAGTTAATACTAATAGTGGAAATCATAAAAGATCAGCTTCACAAAAAGTCAATAATCATTTAACACAACCACCTTTAGCAACAATTGAATCTGTATTAAGAGAACGATCAATGCTCATTGCTAATGAAAATACACATCAACCAGATGCTATGGAACGTGTTAATCATATTCTTAAACAACTTTATTTACCATTAGAAAAAAATAAAAAATCATAAATAAAATTATATATAGTTTTGAAATCTCAGAGTATATTTATGTTGTCTTTTCTTTTGTGTTAAGTTCTCTTTTTTTTTTTCTTCTTCAGTGCTCAGTTTTTTTTTTAACATTGTTTCAACTATCTTTTTTTATTATTAAAAAGGTTGCAACATTTATGAGAGCAAAATATAATTTCATATGTTCTTTTTGTGAATCGTTTGTTTCGAATGAAATAAAATGTTATTAATAAGAGTCTTAAAACTACTATGGCAAAAAAATAATAATAACAAAATCGATAATCTATTAATTACCAATGTCTGAATAACATATATAAATATAGTGGCTTTTAAAATTATTCGACCAGGTTTATTTTCAACGTTTATTTTTAACTACTTTAAAGAGGTAAGTAAGTGTACAGCATTTCTGAAAAAAAATCAAAAATCAAGTTTTGCAGCTCCAACAGTTTCAAATCGAATTCTGTTGGAATTGCACAGTAATAAAGCAAACAATAGTTAATTTTTCTGCTATTCCCGTTTGGAAACATCATTTTTCTGCCTTTCGTAAGGTTGATGTATATCAGTCAAAAATCTATGTAGAACATTGAAAGACATTTCAGCTTGTAAAGATTCCATTGCAATATCATTCAGTTCAATTCAAACAGAATTCAATGGCTAACTCTAAGAGCTGAATAACTTGGGTATGGATTTTTCAAAGATCCTATTCAAAGAAAATTAATACTTATGTTCATGTTGATAAATTCATCTCGAATATAATAACTTTTGAAGTCACTATACATTTATACTAAAAGAACATCTTTCTGGTAATATATTTAACAAAAAAAGTTTTATTTTTATATCTGTGGTTATGTATGTAGAATTTCATTGGATATATACATTTTATGACCATGAAATGAATAAGAGAAAAAAAAGGTTTTGTTGGAATTAAATAGCGAGCAGCATAATAAATATTATTCATAGAAAAAGAAACTAATATGTTATTAATTTGAAAACCCATTGTATTCAAAACATCTGTTTAGTTTTATTAGTCAAATTCTTCAACAACGTTTGTATTGTATAGATTTTTGTTTATTTTATCTAAAAAAATTTGAATCGGATTCGTTGATAATATCATCAACAGTTCAGATTAATAAATGCTGATTATAGAAATATTGTTCACGACCATTATTACTTAAATGACTTTGATAGATGTTCGTAACATTTCAACTAAAACAAAACAAATTAAATTATTTTTGTAGTTTCCATCTATGAGTATCATAAATATAATAACAATGAGCAGGTTACGAAAGTATACGATATACATATTAGTTTTTTTTATCTCTTCTTGTATATCTTTGTATACATGAGCATATGACCTATTTTATAAAAATTCATCAATTTATTATTTCTACATCAAAATTTGATTTTTCAATATGTAATCATTCAGTTACAAAACGATTTCTCTGAGGAGTGAACAGCAAACTTCAAGACTGAAACCCCTGCTGTTACCTCCTCGAGTTTATCACAGTTTGATTCATTTATGTTTTTCTACAAAGTTGATTGTTTTTTTCGGTAACTTTAAGGCAATGATAATTTGTTGATAATGTATACTATTGTTCAATCAGAAGAGAGCAGTTGTAATAAGACCATATTTCTAAATATTTGATTATTTTATCAAGTTTTACTCAAAAACTCGAGCAAATTAAAAATGATTATATAAAGAAATTTCTTCATTCGTATCAAACACTTTGAAATGCGTTATAAAGATAGAAACAAAACAATGAAAACGTAGTTCAAATAAAAAAACATTTCTGACTTTTTTCAAAATTTTTCTAGATGAAAATTGTTTTTGACTATTCACTGATATTTACGGGTGCTAAAACAATTTTATTATTAATATTAAAAATATTCAAACAAAGATGGTTCAGAGAAAGTTCACTATTCGAAAAAAAAAAACTTTTGCTTCATTCTAACTATTGATATCAGGTGCCCTTTTTTTTATTGCATCATTACCGAATTTTTCACGTAAAAACTATGCTAAATATGATGCTGAAAGTAAACAAATCTTCTCTGTCAATGAACTGGAAATTAAACATTCAAAAATCAAATCAATTATCTTACATATTAAAAATATTACACCAACAATATTCAATTATGACAAATGTTATACATGTTCATATCAATCAATAAGCTAGGGAAATGATCAGCTCCCGTCGTCTGACGACGTTTTAAAAGATGTAATTTTTGGTGATATAAAAATGTATCTTTCAAAAATTTTGCCTGTGAGCATTTAAAAGTCTATGGCATGCTAAGTTTCTCTAGGTCCAAATCCTGATTCCACCACTGAAGTTCATTAGGAAGTAATAGTAATTAAAACGACTAGCACATACACTCAACAATATAATTTCTGTTTTCATTACAAACAAATCAACTTCGAATTTAGAACTAACCATATTGTGTTCTTTCTTTATTTCCTATCACCAAATCTTTATGGACGACTAGTTCTCATTAATTATGAAAAAATAATACATAAATTCAATCTTATGATAAATAACACACATAATAATGTCATTGTCTACTCTTTTACTACACAGACAATAAATCATACAATAAATTTTCTCGACACCTACACTCTAGAAAACAAAATATTATCTATTTCTCTTAATGTCCATTGTCCATCAATAGCAGCATATAATAAAAACTCACTGTTATCTTCTCAACTTTCATTTTGTTTCTTAAAATAAAAAGAATCTTCAACGATCATTTCCAATATCCTTATTCAAAGATAAATCTTGAAAAACAAAACCAAGATAAAAGAATATTTTTTATTATACATATAGAACAAATTAATGTCATCGTCTTAGCTTACTTAAATACACACACATGGACAACAAATGTATCTCAATTTATGTATATATGTATATTGTAGATGAAAGGAATAAATGGTACTACAATTTGTGTTAATGAGACATGTCAATTGTTATACATGAATCAATACAACAAATCATTACATTGATTAAGAAAAAAAATGACAAAAATTTCATTCTATTCTCATATTCATTAATGTAAAAAAAAAATTAATTTTTTTCCTGTCAGTTTTCAAATACAAGTGATATTATTGTTCTATATTTAGGATAAAATGTAATATTTCTCTCACTCTCCCTCTCGTTATGTCTCACATATAGATTGGCTAATCAAAAAAACTTTCATAGACGCAGCACCAATAGAATATTCTTCATTCTTCTTTCTCATATTAATTCCTATATCTATGTTCTAGTAATCTCCATCTAAGACACATACAGAATGCTCCAGTATTCTTTTTTCCTTATTACCAATAAATAATTGACCAATCAGCAATGAATATGCTATAAAGAGAAGCAGAAAAAAAGAAATGTTCTTTTTTTTCTTTTTCTTCTTCTCTCTCGCCTACAAGTAAAAGGCAAAAAAAGGCATCTATATTGCATATCTAATTGAAGACGTGTGCGAAACAACTACTGGTTATACTTGTATTGCATTTGTCTTTGTGTTGTATACTCACCAGGCTTACACCAACAACATCAAGAAACAAGAAGAAAAAAAAGAGAGAAGATCTTTATACAAGATGCTTACCAGATGAACCTAATCGTTTACATCTGACAAGCAAATAACAAACATAAACAGGCAAGTGAAATGAGTAAAGAAAGAAAACTCTTCGGATCATGCAACATACAATATGATATGGTTTCAATTAACAATTAAGTTTATCAGAATAATAATAATAATAGACAGAAGTAATAATAATTTAATTTAGAAGTTTTATTTATCACACAAGGAAAAAAAAACAAAACAAAACAAAAACTAAAAAAAACGAAAAACAAAATTTTGTTTCTTTTTTTTCTTTTTAGTTGAAAAAAAAAAATAAAAAAAAAATAACTTCTTTCATTCTCCTTCTCTATGGATTCTAATTCATCATCGACACTTCTTCAACATCAAACATTTATAAATACATTTATTAAAAGTGAATATACATCATCAAATAATCAACAATATCCATTAACAATTTATCCGTTAACATCAATGAGTAGTGGTGGAAGTGATTCAAGTTTAAGTTCACCATCAACACCAATGCATATTGATGAAAATTATCTTGATATGTCAACAAATAATTTAAATAATGAAAATCATTTAGTAGAATCATCAAATAATAATAATAATACACATCATCAACGACGTACACGTCGTACAACACGTTTATCACGTCGATTAAATAATCAACCATATCCTTCAACATCATCATCATCACATCGTATATCATCAAAAAGACGACAACAACAACAACAAACAATGTCACAAGATGATGTACAAAATCAACGTGCTATTGCTAATGTACGTGAAAGACAACGTACACAATCATTAAATGATGCATTTGCACATCTTCGTCATATTATTCCAACATTACCATCAGATAAATTATCAAAAATTCAAACATTAAAATTAGCAACACGTTATATTGATTTTCTCTATCAAATTTTACGTACAGATGAACAACAAGCTTCATCATCAAATATACCATCAACACAACAAACTTCAACATCACAACTTCAACAACAGCAGCAGCAGCAACAACAACAACAACAACAACAACAACAACAGCAACAGCATACACTTGATACAGAATCATCACCATCATCACAACAAAATGAACGTACATTAAGCTATGCATTTAGTGTATGGCGTATGGAAGGTGCTTGGTCTGCTAATGGTAATGCAAGTAATGGACAACAAACATCAATCAGTAATGGATCATTTTCTCCTGATGATTATCAAGAAAACTAACAATATGTATATAATCAACTCTCCACAGGGTGTGAGTTCTTTCTTCATCTTGTCAAATTTTTTTAATCATTATAGCTTTCTCTCATCATATTGTTGTTCTTTTTTTTTTTTTTTGCTTTTTTGTTTTCTTGTTGTTGTTGTTCTTTCTTTGACGAATGAAGATCTAAAGAATTTATTCTTGATTTTTGTTTTCTATTTCATGCAGAGAAAGTAAGTCAAGAAACACAAAAGAGCGCGTTAGAATTATATCAAAGTATAATACAAAAGAAATCTATGTTGATTTTTCATTTAAATAAATTTGATAAGAAGACTTTCTTTTTTTCAAATCAGAATTTTTCATTAGGGAATTCTTAATTTGTTAAATTTCTAGTGAAGTGATGAGTTGATCAATGATAAGATTGTTATTCGATCTTATTCTCGTTTCTCCATTCATTCTCTATTTTATTTAACCATATTCGAAAACGACAACATTGACTTGTCTAATTCTTATCAAACCTTGATGGTATCTTCATTCTACTGTGTGCATATACATAAACGAGTCTCTATGGACAACTGCATATGTCGACAGCTGATGATGATGTTCAATCGAAAGAACAGATTTTGAAGAAGAAGAAAAAAAAAATGACGAGATAAGTCAATTGAAATGCTTGAAAAATAAGTATGAATTAGTGTTAACTGCACTTGTTTATCTAGCCGGGAGGAGAAAAGCAAGACGAGTCGACATTTGAGTATAGACGTGCGTATGCATTCTCGTATATATGTGAAAGAACAATAATATAAACATAAGACATAACCAGTAAAAGCAGCAGCAATGATCTGCAGATGTGAGACATGCAAATTGTTACTCATCTCAGATTATCAATACGGATTCATACTTGTTATTATACTGAACAATTAATAATCTATCGATTGAGTTAACATGTGAAATGTCTAAGTAAAGGTCACTATTTTGAGAAGAATACACATATACACCAAAAAAATCAAACTAACATGCTGCGAATGTGACTTATGTATGCATCCTATGTGTTAGCTTATTTCGAAGAAGATGATGATGATGATGATGATGATGTTGGTGATAATGATCATTTTTGACATGTTGGTGTGGTATCGTGAATGATAAGTTCGATATTAAAATGAAATAATACTCATCGATCATAAATTTAATTGACTTATACAATGGCAGAGGAATGAAACAAAAAAAAAACGAAGAGAAAGAGATTTGCTTGATGAGAAACAGATGAGACGAAGAAGAACATATTTCAAAAAATAAATGATCTGTCTTTTTCGTTTTTTTTTTTTTGAATAAAATATTCTTTTGTGTTTTGTTTCTTTTTTTTTGTACTTGTTTAAAATATTTCATTTGATAATGGTTGTAAATCTTCAAATATATATGAAAATGAATTTGTTATTGTTTCATTTGGTAAAATAAAATCATCAATTTGAACAGGTGATAAAGGTTTAAGAATATTTCTATGATCATTAAAATCATCTGATAAACTTTCAAAATCATCATCAATATCATCATCATTAAAAAAATATTGATAATTTTTATTCATTAAATATTTTTGTTGTTGTTGTTCATTATTTATATTTTCAATAACTAAATTAATTATTGATTGATTTAAATAAAATGATATTTTTTGTTCAATACGATAATAAAGATATTCTTCAATAAATAATTGTAATAAATGAAATGAACCAAGTGATGTACCATAATGTAATGTTAATTCACGTAATATTAATGTACAATAAAAATTTGTTTTTAATAAAAATTGTCGAGCATTATATATATATTCTTTTGTATTATTATATAAAATTAAATAATCATCTAATAATGTATCAATAAATGTTGTCCAATTATTTATTGTTAACATTGTTTGACATTGAAATAAATTTTTAAAACATTGTTCAATTTTAATAAATAAATTTAAATCACATTCAATTAACCAATTTATTTGTTCATGTAAATCATTAAAATTTATATGTGTTAAATCATTTGACATTGTTATTAAACGTGATGATTGTAAAAACATTGTTTGAACAGTTAAAGATAAATGATTTAATGATGTATAACGTAATAATATTGAACTAAATGCTTGAGTATATTGAATAAGTATTGATTTTAATGGATCATATAAATGTTCAATTGTATGTATTAACCAATATGATATATTATTTGCTATTGTACGAATAGCTTCCTATATATATATGAGAAAGAAACAATATAGAAAATTTCAGAAAAACAATCAAAACATACAATTGTTGTTTGTGTTAGAGATATAAGAACATTAGGAAAATAACTATCGATTATTGTTTGATAAAATTTTGAATAAAATAAACGAATTTGATCAAGAATAAATGGTAATGTACATATACGATTAAATTTCCAAATTATCATTGGATCTTAAATAAATGGAAAAAATTTTATAGATAATATCAAACAGAGATGTTTCTTCGAAAAGTTAATTATTTTGTCTAGAAACTATTCACTCACCACTTATTTTAGAGATGAAACCGATATCGATACAGATTTAAACCTGGTCATTCGTTGATAGACCGGCCGTTACAGCTGTGTCTTATTTAATCTATATTAAATAAGATGCATACTTATAGCTAATGAGATTTTTATCAAATAATATTTGCAGAAATGTGAATAGATTTTTTCTTTTAATATTTTTCCTTTTTGCATTAAGAAATCCAATTCAAATTTTTAACTATTTTTCGTGTATATGAATGCATTGATAATGTATTAGAATTAGAATTTTGTGCTCGTTTAGAATCACTACGTAGAATTTTTTCTATGACCTTTCCAGGCAAGCTACAAAATTTTATTGATTATATTGGAAGATGCAGAAAATAGTACTCTATAAAGCAGCATATTTGAATGAAATCCTTTTTAAACTCATGGAGTATAGTAAAAGCTTTTATAAAGTTTCTATTTCCAGTTTTCGTCTTTTCCAAAACAAAATGATCCTTCGTCACAATTTGATCATATTCTGGTGTATTAACCAAAACTCTTTATTCTTGTGTTATATTGTAGAATAGACATCACCTTCCGATACTGTGTATTTATAAAACCTAATTAATATCTACAGGAATCAGACTTGTTAAGATTTTGGCCTCTCCAGAAATTTTCTTTTTCCTTCATGCCAAGATTTACTTATAAATGAATTGCCAAACATCAGAGAAAAATTCTAAGTATCTATTCTAAAAAAGCACCTAATCATCATTTTACTATACTTTATCTTCTTCTTTGTCACAGGCTATGAAATTTTATGTAAGACATCAAATTAAACATGGTTGATGAAAAATGATCCTATTTTATGATTTGCTTCAGACTTATTTCTTGTTCTTAAGAAATTGTTATGAGCTGCTATCTAATTGCTTGTTATATGTTTGATTCAATGAATGAAAGAGTCAAGTACTCGTCGATAATATAAGGAGAAGCCTTTTTAATCTAACTCTGTTACTTATTTAGATTGAGAAAATAAACGAATAATTCAGTATGACTGCAACTCTCCACTCAATATGATTTCGTATTATTCAAAATACCAAATGAGAAAGCCAAAAATACAGTTAAGTGTATCTAGCATTGTAATCATACCGAATTACTAGTTTATTTTCTCAATAAATGAAAATATCGAAATATATGTTAATTCGAAATCAAAAGTCTGTCGAACTTTCTTATGTTGTTTTGTAAAACAAAAAAAAACACGTGATACCATTATTTGTTAAATCATTTGCTTGTGAATAATTTATATTCGTAAGTGACCAAAATTGTTGAATTAATTTTTCAATCAAATCATATTGAAATTTTAGAAATGCTTGATGAAGTTTTGTTGAATAATCATCATGAGTTTTTTGAAAAATTTTTATATCATTCATTGTTATTTCGGATGGTAATTCATTCGATATTAATGTATCATGTGGAAATAAAAAGTCAACTGATGAGTGATTATTATGATTATGAGTATTATTATTATTATTATTATTGATCTGCGTAGATAATGGTGAAAAAATATTTTCATTAGGTGACATATTCAAATGAACTGATTGATTATCAAAATCATAATTTATATTTGATAAAAGTAATAAATCACCATCGAAAGGCATTTGTTTTATTAATGCTGACGATGATTTAACTTGTATACCATAATAATGATATTTTGAATTACCTCTTTGATTTAGAAGAAAAATCTATTAGCACAAATCATGCAGAATAAATATGTGAAACACGATGTCGTTCGTCTTACTAATCACAGAGAAACTGTTTGATTCCATCTATATTCGGGACACATTTTTTTTCACCATCAATTTTACTTTATTCTCGAGAAATACGATAAAGAAGCGTTATAGTGAGACATTAATGATATATGATCTGTGATCGTATATCAACAGCAGAGGGCATTGTTAAGGCATCTGTCACGGTGTGTGACGTTTCTATGGTTGTGTTGTTGCAAAGATATCTGTGATCAACCGTTTCAAGTGTATCTGTCAAGTCTGTGATGTGCCACTTGTAACATGTTCAATATTACTCATTGCTAAGCTATTCGGAATGTCTGTGGGGAGGGCATAAGTCCAAATTGTTAACCCTATACTTCAACATTTCTTTAAAGTCGTGTTTCACAAGTAAGTAAATTCATGAGAAACATTGCTTTTTTTCTTGTTCGAATAATTACCGAGTGCCTAATCGACGAGTCTTTAAACCAAGAAAAACTGAATGAATTAATTTTCCAAAACTAGCTGGATTAAGTGCTTCTACTTTAAGACCAAGGCAATGTTCAAGATAGAAATTATATAATATTGAACGACGTATTGAACTACCTTCAGCTGGTTCAAAATTATCCACAAGCCATTGAACAGTAGTAGCTATTTATATTAAAATTTCATCTTTTTCAAAAGTTTGATATGTCTCTTTACACATACGTGTTGCATGATCTTTACACCATCGTTCAATTAATTGATCACTTGACATTGTTAGCTATTTTACAAGATTTGTT